AGATGTCCGACGGTGCGGTTCCTGGACTACCAAAAGGTCAAGGAGGCAGAGAGGGAGAAGGCCAGGGAGCTGTTTGGCACGGCGGAGGAGCCCACGAGCGCGGCGGCCAAGGTATACTCCCCCCCCCAAATTGGATCGACGATCGACGCAATAAGAGTCAGGTCAACACTGCCCACTGTCAGACCAACCCAGGAAACAAACGCCAGAAAACAGAACAATGTGGACGTTGAGGCGGTCAATGATCCCCTGATTCCCCAATCCGGTGACTTACTGGCATCCTCTGCTGCTTAGTACATCAGTCAACATCACCATAGCTTCTGCAGTCTTCGATAATATCCATCGAGAACTGCAGTCTCCGCGCCGTTCCATCTTCCATCTCACCTGACTTTGCAAGATACATGCACCTTCCAATTTTATCAGATATCCGTGCGGGCTGCAACTCTTCGGGGAATCTTCATGACGTATTGGCAAATGTCCTCTCGCGCTTCTCAGCAGGCGTTATACATATGAAGAAGCGCATGTCTCCGCATATAGAGCCGCTGCGCTTCTTGACACTCTCCTGAAGACGCTAATGGGCTCTTTGACGCTGGGCTGGGACCGCAAGCTCTCCATATCTGCCTGCACCAGATGACGCTTTGGCTCAAAGGAGCACTTGTGGGAGCGTCTTACCTACCTTAGTCTCCTTCTTCTCTGCCACACATGCTACCAAAACTCGCCGCCTGGACGCTTCAGGAGACACGTCTGGTTGATCGGATTTTCCTTCTGTTGCGCTTCAAACAGCATGTCAAAGCTTAAGCAACACGGGGCTTGTTTTCCCTTTGTCGTCCAGTAGACAAGCGCCGTTTTCTGTATTGTTTTGCATTCCCAAGTATCAGCAGAGTTGCTCTGGCTGCAGGGGGGGGGGATGCTTCGGTGCATACCAAAATCTGGGGCTATGGAAGATGCGGGAGACGGCGAGATGAGCGACTTACATGATGGACCGGACTGGTACTTGTCGAGTACTTGTTGCGTTGGAAGAAGTGCCACCACTTCAAGTCATAGTCTCGCCCGCTCGAACGCCCCAGCTTGCTTCCAAAACCTCGCTATTTCTGGATTCGCGGGCCATCGTCCTCAGTCATATCTCTGCTCTCGTCCGCCTTGGGACCACGGCCGTTCTCTTTGGGCTTCTCATCTCAATCAAGTCATCTCAGCTTGTCAGATTACTGCTGACAATCCTCATCACTCTTCTGATTCGTTGTTTCGGTTTTGAGTTTGTGGTCCTCGCTTTGCCCATTGGACCCCAACTGCTGCTCCGGCAAGCCGTATTCTCTGATCGGCCACACACGCCAACTCTGGGATTATTGCTCCTTGCGTTGAGCCAATACGCTTTTTGGGTGGTACACCTTTCGATGGGATTGGACGCCGGAGACGAGCTGGCAGTCTGACGCTGATTAAAAAGTGCAAGTGGACCGGAAGTCACGGCGAGAAGCCGGATTGTTATAAAATGGTCAATCCTAATCGCTGGTCATGGTCGGCAGGGCCACGAAGAAGTTCGACCCGAGGGAATGCAGTGACCAGCATCCAGCCATTAGCACGTTCTCCCGACAAGCCCATTTCGTGCGAGGTCGACGTCCCAAACGATCAAAACCTGCAGCCCGGCGCTACCAACGTCTCATCGCGCCGATTGACCAAGAATCGGTGGAGCTGGCGGCCAGACGCAGCCATATCGGTGACCCTAGAAGACCAGCAAGAGACGGCACAGGGCGAGAGGCAAGACAGGGAGGAGCATAACCAGGATCAAGCAGAAACAGATGCACCGACAAACAAAACCCGCCGGTTGTCGAAACTCATCAAGAAGACGGATGCCGCTCCTCTTACTGCTTCTCGACCGAAACGGAGACCGTCGTCCATGATAGCGCCCGCAAGCTCTTCTTTCGGAGCATCACCCTCTTATTCGCATCCCGGCTCGCGGGCGGTGCAGGAGCATCCGGCGGAAGAGGAGGATCGTTCCTCTCACGCAAGCCCCCTCCCAAACCAGCCTGCGGCAGGAGTGAAGAACAAGCTCAACCGCTTTCTTAGTCGACACATCACCACCCGGCAAGTTGACAAGAAAGCTGTGCCGGTGCCGGTGCCGGTGCAACACCAGCATCAACAGACACCTGCAGACGCCGCAGAGCCACCGCCATCTTCCCGACACCAGCAGCCAACACCACAGAGACCCATGCCGATGCAACCCCCGATGCGCCATCGTCTCCAACTCCACAATCCCCAGAACACCCTTCGAGCATCGCCAGCCCCCCCTGTCGCCCACATTCAGACTCAGGGTTACACGGACAACGGTCGTCTTGTTGCACCGCTGCCAGGGCTAGACGAAAACTCGCAGCTGCAGCTCCCGCCAGCGACAAGCCGACCCGCGACTGCCACAGGTGCGGCGGCGGCGCAGAGTCTTGGTACCAGTACCCCGTCGTCATCAACTGCTGCACCTTCGGCAGACGAGACAGGGTTGTTGAACCGCCTGATGCGACGACGATTGGCTCCCAAGGACAAGGACGCCGACAATAAGAAGAGGTGGACTTCCGCCAGCAGCGATAAAACAAGTTCGTCCCCGGGAATCGACCGACATAAGGGAAGATCGCCTGGCCCGAATACCGCAGTTAGTGAGACCACGGAGCAGCGCGAGACGCAGACACGGCCTCTGCTGTTGAACCCGCTCATGTTGAACCCGTCGCACCCAACACCTGCCCAAAGTGAGACTGTCTTGGACGCGCGAAGGGGCTCATTGAAGTCTTCAGTACCCCGATTTCTGCGTCCAGCTACAAAGCCTCAGCAAGAATCTACGAATGCGACCCAGACTGCCGGCCCTGCCAGCCCACTTCAGCTCGAGTCACCTCCCCGACAGCAACAGACTATGCAGACCTCGGGTTCCGCTGCACCGACGCAGCTCAAATTGCGGTCCAAACCAAGCTTTGGAAAGCGGTTCTGGTCGAGATCCGGCGCCAATGATTTTGGAGAGGCCAACGTGACCAACACCAAGACACCGGCACCAGCATCGGCGCCGCGAACCGTCTATGTTCCTAAACACGCCGCGGCTGATTTTTCGCGCACCACTTCCGCCTACACGTCGCGCCACAACCGCCATAGCTTTTCTTTTGGCAATGACCCCGACAACGGTGCACAAGCTCTGGCCACAATAAGGGCCGATGCAGGATCGGGCGAGTCGGAGCCGCTTCACCAGAGGCAACGGACGCCATCCGCTGAGGCGGCCGAGAAGCGCAGGTCACGGGACTTATCATCATCCAAGTACGAGGCGCCGCCTCCCCATGAATTGCACCGGCGTCTCGAGATCGTTAAGAGTAGCGAAATTGAAGTGGTAACAACTAGGGAACCGGTGGTTGTCGACCCCTGGCAGCAGCAACACAATCTCTTGCAGAATGCTTCAAATACCTCGTCGTCGAACGGCAAGGCTCCTGCTAGACCTCACTCTCGTCCAAGGTCATCCAAGCGACACAGTTTCAATCTTGTACACGACCCATACGCCAGAGAACTCACGCCGCCAAAGTCAATCTCCCCGGTAGAGATGGAGGCGCCATTCGACCCGCCAAGCCAGCCAGAGCAACAGCCGGCGCCGCCATCGGCACCGCCACGGCCCATCTCGTCTCATTCTCGTCCACAGTCTCGGCAAGAAACTCAACCTCAAGAAACAGCCAGTAGCCACGAACTGACGGATTATGAACGTTTTGTAGCAGATGCTGAGGTTGCCGAGCGAGAGTATCATGCCCAATTGTGGCGGAACCTTGCACGGCGTTCTGGTCATTATGGTTATAGCGACAACCCCTGGAGTACGACGAGACAAGCTGATGCTTCTACTGCGCAACGCAATAACAACAACAAGCGAAGCAGTGCGCAATTTTCGATGGGAGTCGGTAAGCGTGCAAGCATGATGTCGTTTGCCGCAGCCAACGACGACGACCGCAACTTGGTCTCATCAAGCTTTTACGGCGAGCCACTCCGCAAGCCGAGCCTCTCGCACAGCGCTAGTGTTGGCGCAGATGGGAAAAGGGGGCTCCGACATCAGGGGAGCGTTTCGAAGCGGATTTCCGACTACATCAAGCCACCGAAACCATACCAGGAAGCCACTTACGAGGATTGGATGCCGCCTTCTGGACGAGCCAATCGACGGAGCGTCATTGCTGGAATTTCTGAATAGTAACGAATAAAACCACGGCGGACGGGTTGCGGATAGGAAGGCGCATCATTTCTTTTGCGTGGGATGCATAGAAAGGCGGAGAGGGATGTGTGGGGCGCAATGTTGATGAGGCCTAAATCAAGATAATGATTCCCACGGATCATATACCACGACACAGATTATTTCCTTAGCTTCTCTCTAGGCTCAGCCTTATAAGAATAAAAACTATTTGGCACTTGCTACAAATTCGTCGCATGATATGATGTGACAGACATGACGGACTTCCGGGGTCCTCAATCAGCGGGGTTCTGCCGGTAAAGTGCGGACTTGAACAGTGGGGAACAAGCCTGTCGGCACGGATCAACCACCTTGGAAGCCCGTCAAGGCGGATTGCAAGGTTTAAAGGTGCCTCACATGCCTGGAACTGGTACTGAGGTGACTGAGGTGGGGGTGCAGAAAGGCAGGGTAACAGACCTGACGTACCTACGGTGCCTTAGGTAAGAATGGCTGCCAAAGGGTAAGGTTCCAGGTAGCAGGGTCTACGTACACGAAAAACCCCCCATGGGCCGCTGAAAGCGAATGGTGACTGGCCACATCAGGCCAACAAGGGCCCTGTTCCATCAGCTGTGAGTGGCCTCTCAGGCGCCAGTTTCCCCAATTCGCCATCGCGAAAAAAAAAAGTCACAGATTACCACCTGGCTTTTTTGGCCCCAGTCCCGTCTCGACAACCTTCGGCTTGCTTCTGCTTTCCGCCGCTCACTTCTCCGCCGCCAACAACGCGAGACCCCACAGTAGCAGCAGCCCTGATTCTGCCACGGGTCACCTCGACTTTGCTGCTCCTCACACCCATCGCCTCTACTCTTTGATGGCCCATCTGCATCACTTGGAGAAACACCGTCGATGTAACCAGGGACACGGCATCAACTGATCAAACCCCTTCCCTGCCTTCTCATTCACTGCGCCCGCTGTTCTGTCGCTTGATTTGATTCACGACAAAGCGCGCGCGCGCTCTTTGCGATCGCCCACCATGGCACCCCTCGTCGACCACCCCCAGATCAAGGTGGCCGAGCTGTGGAAGCCTCTTCCGGCCTACTTCCACGCCTACGTCTGGCCGTTCGCCATCATCTGGCCCATCTTCCTCCGCTACTACCTTACCGCCGAGCTCTACGAAAAACACATCGCATCCGAGGAATGGACCTTTGTGTGGATCGGTTCCATCGTCACCCTCCAGTCCCTCGCCTGGCTGAGCACCCACTGGAGCGTCAAGCTCCAAGCTACCTTCACTGCCACCCGCGCCAAGTCAATTGACGAGGCCGAGCTCGTCAAAATTATTCCCGTTGCCAACGCCGGCTCTGCCGATATCTGCAAAATCGTTCGCGACAAGGTAAGCCCGAGCCAATCCTCCCCACCTTTCCGCTCTATGCGCCCTGACTGGCCCATGAACTAACACACCCGTACAGGTTGGCGGCAAGATCAACACCTCCTTCTTGTTCCAGAAGCGACGCTTCATCTACTACCCCGAGGACAAGTCCTTCCGAACCCTCGCCTACGATATCGATGCCGAACCCAAGCCCAATATCGGACGCTACCAGCAGTCCAAGGGCATCACGACCGAGGCCGAGCTGAAGAGAATTGAAGAGCATTATGGCGCCAACGCCTTCGACATCCCCGTTCCTACCTTTACCGAGCTCTTCAAGGAGCATGCCGTCGCACCCTTCTTCGTCTTCCAGGTCTTCTGTGTTGGTCTGTGGATGCTCGATGAGTACTGGTACTATTCACTCTTTACGCTCTTCATGCTCGTCGCCTTTGAGAGCACCGTCGTCTGGCAGCGCCAGCGTACGCTCAATGAGTTCCGTGGTATGAGCATCAAGCCCTACGACGTCTACGTCTACCGCCTGGGCAAGTGGACCGAAGTCCTGAGCGACAAGCTCCTGCCTGGTGACCTCGTCTCTGTAGGACGCACCAAGGAGGACAGCGGTGTCGCTTGCGACATGCTGCTCGTTGAGGGAACTGCTATTGTCAATGAGGCCATGCTCTCCGGTGAAAGTACCCCTCTTTTGAAGGAATCTGTACAGCTTCGCCCCAGCGATGCCGCCATCGAGCCTGAAGGTCTTGACAAGAACGCTTTCTTGTGGGGTGGTACCAAGGTTCTGCAAATCACCCACGGCAATCCCGACGAAGAGAAGCCCAAGTTGGCATCCGGTGTCCCGCCTCCTCCCGACAATGGGGCCATGGCTATCGTCCAAAAGACTGGCTTTGAGACGTCCCAGGGCAGCCTGGTCCGCACCATGATCTACTCCACTGAGCGTGTTTCCGCCAACAACGTTGAGGCTCTTCTCTTCATTCTGTTCCTCCTCATTTTCGCGATCGCTGCCTCGTGGTACGTCTGGGACGAGGGTGTTAAGAAGGACCGCAAGCGCTCCAAGCTTCTGCTGGATTGCGTTTTGATCGTCACTAGCGTCGTTCCTCCCGAACTCCCCATGGAACTCAGTCTTGCCGTCAACACCAGTCTGGCTGCCCTGGCCAAGCTTGCTATTTTCTGCACCGAGCCGTTCCGTATTCCCTACGCTGGCCGCATTGACATTGCCTGCTTCGACAAGACTGGTACCCTTACCGGCGAGGACTTGGTCGTCGAGGGTATTGCTGGTTTGGGACTCGGCCAGGAGGGCACGAGCACACCTCGCGAGACCGATGGTGCCCACTCAACAATGACGCCCGTCAACGAAATTCGCCTGGACACCACTCTGGTCCTTGCGACTGCTCACGCACTAGTCAAGCTTGACGAGGGTGAAGTTGTTGGCGACCCAATGGAGAAGGCCACTTTGACTTCTCTCGGCTGGACGCTTGGTAGGAACGACACCCTCACCAGCAAGCCTATTACGGCAGCCACCACTGGTATCAGTGGAACCGTTCAGATTAAACGCCGCTTCCAATTCTCCTCAGCTCTCAAGAGACAGAGTGCCGTTGCCACTGTCAACGGTGCTGACAAGGCCGGCAACAGGATCCGTGGCACCTTTGTCGGTGTCAAGGGCGCTCCCGAGACCATCATGAAGAGGCTTTCCACCATCCCTGCCGACTACGAAGAGACCTACAAGTATTTCACCCGACGCGGTTCACGTGTCCTTGCCCTCGCCTACAAGCAGCTTACCGTTGATAACGAACTTGGAGGCAGCAAGATTAACGACCTCAAGCGCGACAACGTCGAGGCCGGACTCACTTTTGCCGGATTCCTGGTTCTTTCTTGCCCTCTGAAGGACGACGCGAAGCAAGCGGTTCAGATGCTCAACGAGAGCAGTCACCGTGTTGTTATGATTACGGGAGATAACCCTCTAACCGCTGTCTACGTTGCCCGCGACGTTGAAATTGTCGACCGTGAAGTCTTGATTCTTGACGCGCCCGAGGACAACGAGGGAGGGGACAAGCTCGTCTGGCGCAGTGTTGACGAGAAGACGGTCATCCCTGCCGATCCCTCTAGACCTTTGGACCCCAAGGTTCTCGAGAACAATGACCTTTGTGTCACCGGTTACGCTCTGGCCAAGTTCAAGGACCAGGTCGGCTGGCGACAGATTCTCCGTCACGCCTGGGTCTACGCTCGTGTATCACCAAAGCAAAAGGAGGACATCCTCGTGGGTCTCCGAGACATGGGTTACTACACACTGATGGCTGGTGACGGAACCAACGACGTTGGCGCCTTGAAGCAGGCTCACATTGGAATCGCTCTTCTCAACGGAACGATGGATGACCTTACCCGGATTGCGGAGCACTCCCGCAACACCAAGATGAAGGAGATTTATCAGAAGCAGGTTGACCTGATGAAGAGATTCAACCAACCCGCACCCCCTGTTCCCGTCATGATCGCCCACCTGTACCCTCCTGGCACGAGCAACCCCCACTTCACCAAGGCCGTCGAGCGCGAGGCTCAGAAGAAGAATGTCACCCCTGAGGAATGGCTCAAGGCCAACGGCGTCAGCGACATCGAGACCGTCACTTCCCCTGGTGCCCAGCAGCTCCTCAACAACAACGACCCCAAGGCTGCTCGCCAGGCCAAGGCCGCCGCGAACGCCGCTAGCTTTGCCGATAAGATGACTTCCAGCCTGATGGAGAATGAAATGGGCGATGACGAGCCTCCCACCCTGAAACTTGGCGACGCCTCTGTCGCTGCTCCTTTCACCAGCAAGCTTCGCAACGTCATTGCCGTTCCCAACATTATCCGCCAGGGCCGCTGCACACTCGTCGCGACCATTCAGACGTACAAGATTCTTGCTCTCAACTGTTTAATCAGCGCCTACAGTCTGAGTGTGTTGTACCTCGAGGGTATCAAATTTGGCGACGGACAGTACACGATTAGTGGTATCCTGATGAGCGTCTGCTTCTTGTCCATCTCTCGTGCTCGCGTTGTCGAGGGTCTCTCCAAGGAGCGACCTCAGCCCAATATCTTCAACTTTTACATCATTGGCTCGATTCTTGGACAGTTTGCCGTCCACGTCGTTACTCTCATTTACATTGCCCGATTCTGCGACAGACTTGAGCCGTAAGTTTTTTTTCCCAACAAGATTTCCGAAGCAAAGGCTAACAATGCACACAGCCGGTCTGGTGACGTTGATCTCGAGGCCGAGTTCGCACCGAGTCTCCTCAACAGCGCCGTCTATCTGCTTCAGCTCATCCAGCAGATCAGCACGTTTGCCATCAACTACCAGGGACGTCCTTTCCGTGAGGGTCTTCGCGAGAACAAGGGCATGTTCTACGGTATCGTCGGTGTTTCTGCCCTGGCCTTCTCCTGTTCCATGGAGTTCATTCCCGAGATCAACGAGCAGATGAAACTGGTTCCCTTCACCAATGAGTTCAAGACGACGATGACGGGTATCATGGTCGTCGACTATGCTGCCTGCTGGGTCATTGAGGTGGTTCTCAAGCACCTCTTCTCTGACTTCCGTCCCCGCGACATCGCTGCCCGGAGACCCGAGCAGCTGGAGCGTGAGCGCGTTCGCAAGGCGGCGGAGCAAAAGATCAAAGACGACGAGGAAGAGAAGAAGGCGCAGGAGAAGGTGGCCGAGTTTGAGCGCAAGGTTGAGGAGCGTCGCCAACAGCTCGAGGCGTGGAGACAGGGCCGACAGCGGCAGTAGATGTCGGTTTTAGACTAATTGTGTACTCAAAAAAAACTTAGAGAGATGCGGAGCATGTGTGGGGAGAGATGTATGATAGGAAACGAGCATGAATGATGTGTGCATATAAGAATTTCATTGCCGTAGGATGTGTGAGATTTGGTGCAACTGCTCCGTTTGTGGTTCGAATTCTCTTCCGAATACCTGATATTTTCACAAGGGCTAATTCAAAGGGTCAGATTGCCGGAGAAGGCAGCCCACGCTCACCAGGCTAAGTCAATGTCGCATGTCGTCTAGGCACTGTGATCAAAGGTGACGGGGCGTTATATGGTTAGGTAAGCGCACTTGGCACAGCGCAACTTCTTTAACACAACCCAAAAAACAAGTCACGGCACTTTGTTGGACATGGAAAGTTTGGAAGTCAAGCATGTTTGAAATTTATGGTACAGAGGCAGACCCAAGGTCGATGCCACGAGTAGGAAAGCACGACTTTTTGCGCCTCCGTGTCTACCCGTATCCTTTGCTTCGCAGCCATATCAGCCGTAGAAGCGTTCAAGGATTTGTTTTGTTTTGTTTTTTCAACCCTGCTCAACCATGTGTTACATCTACTACAACACGTCCCCTAGTTTACAAGCGACAAGCGGGAAAGCTCGGCACTTATTTGGGGGGGTTCTGGGCGACGAAAGCGACACCCTTGGCGATGTTCTTCTTGAGGTCGTTGAAGCAGGCCTCGAGGAGCTTCTCCTCGGCGGCGTCGACCTCACCGATGGGCAGGATCTTCTCGACGCCATTGGGGCCGAGCTCGACCTTTGACGAGAAGAAGTCGATGCCCTGGTCCTTGTAGAGAGGGGAGTCGACAAAGGTCGGCTCGACGATGCCCTTCTCACCCTGGGCGGCGCGGAGGAGGGACTCGGCCATGCGGGCGCCAGCAAAGGCCATGGAGAGGGTGGCGGAGCCGGCACCATCCTTGGCCTTGACGACCTCGTCACCGCCAAACTGGACGCGGTTGACGAGCTCGGCGTTGGAGGACAGGTCGGGGTGGTTGGACTGGGAGAAGAGGGGCACGATGGTGACGCCAGAGTGGCCGCCGACGACGGTGATGTTCTCGTCCTTGGGGTCGGTGGACTTGATCTCGGAGACGAAGCGGGAGGCACGGACGACGTCGAGGGTGGTGACGCCAAAGAGGCGCTTGGGGTTGTAGACGCCGCGGGCCTTGAAGACCTCGGAGACGATGGGGACGGTGGAGTTGACGGGGTTGGAGATGACGAGGATGTTGGCGTCGGGGCAGGACTCGGCGCAGGCCTTTGCGAGGTCGCGGACGATGGAGGCGTTTGTGTTGAAGAGGTCGTCGCGGGTCATGCCGGGCTTGCGGGGGACGCCGGCGGGGATGAGGACGACCTCGGCGCCCTTGAGGGCGCTGGCGAGGCCGGTGGCGGTGGGGTCGTAGCCCTTGACGACGGACTTTGTGTTGACGTGGGAGATGTCGGCAGCGACACCTTTTGCAAGTCAATTGGCTGTGGTGAAGGATAGGGAGATGGGGGGGGGGGGGGGGGGGGGGGGGGGGGGGGGGGGGGCGGGGGGGTGCGGGGCGGGGGGGGGGGGGGGGGAGGCCAGGGACGGTGTGTGGGGGTGCGGCGGCTGAGGGGGGCGGGGGGGGGGGGGGGGGGGGGGGGGGGGGGGTGGGGTGGGCTTACCAGGGCCTCCGCGGATGTCGTAGAGGGCGAGCTCAGTGACTCTGGGGTTGAGCTTCATGAGCAGGGAGAGGGGCTGGCCAATACCACCGGCGGCACCGAGGACGGTGACCTTGGAGAGCTATGGGGGAGAACATTGTGTCAGCTGGATGGTCTCTTGTTTAGTAATGTGATTGCGAGTGTATGTTGATGCAATGTCTTTGTTGACATTGGACATGACGAAGCTTCCAGAGCTCTCTCCCTTCAGTTCCGTAGCCCGAGGTCGGCTTTTCGGAAGTACGGAGGAGAGCTTGAGGAGAGCTTGCTTAAAGCGCAGAGTAAAAAGGAATTTGTGATTGAAGGAGTACATACGCTTCTCGCCGAGGCGGAGAACATGCGGCGCTGGACGAAAGACATGATTGCGACGACGAGGGGGGGGATGTGTAGTAGGTAGATGGTACACGATTGAGATGGAGGAGGAAGAGAAGAAAAAGCAGAGGTTTAAAAATTTATGAAGCGCGCGAAATAAGTTGGCACGCAGCAACAGCGCAGCAGCGGAAGGCAGAACAGGACAACTCGGCACACGGGCCCGCACCACACGGGAACCACAGGGCACGCAGTGGATGGGATGGGGGCCCGGGAATGGACGATGCGGCCTCGCGAGTGGGTGAAGGAGGAAAAGATGGGGACCCAGGTGCGCCAGGGCGTGCTCCCACGTCACCCGTCTCTCCCATCGTCCTTCTCTCTCTTTCGGGCTCGCTCTTGCTGACTCCTGAGGCGACGACGTGTATCTGTGATCACTACGCATACCTTACTTAGGTACGGAGGTACCATACCACCAGCAGTGAGCAAGGGCGCTAGCACCAATACGAGTCTAGCGTCACGGCCACACGGAAGACTACGGGGAAACGCCGGAGAGAATACGTACCCACCACAACAACTGTGCCTCTCCACATGTTTCTGCAGTGCATTCTGTAGCACCTTTCTCTTCTTTTTCCTCCTCCAGCTTCCCATCGCCGAGCTTGTTGGTCCCCGACCCTCCACTGCCAGTCAACCCCGAACGAGATGTGTCGTCAATGCTGCCACACCTATTTGCTATCCTCGGATGGAGAGATGGTCTGATCTTGGCACATGCTTATCTACGACCGCTGCAACCCTTCTGTCGTACATGACGATAGCTGCTTCGCATCGAGTGTTTCCCTCGACCCGAGGCTATGGTAAAGCGTGCTGCCATATAATAACCACCACTCTGTTCGACGCACACGCAATGCGTGGACGGCATCTATGCAGTATGGCCTCACCTCCGCCCCTGCGTCTCGGGGGTTCCCTAGCATCTGTCGGGAAACATGTTACACTTACGACAAGAACCGGCTTGCTTTATGACATCGTCTCAAACGGTGCTTACTCGAGATATGTATGCCTTGCCCTGGCCTTACCCATGAACCGTACGGGTGAGATGTTTCTGGGTTCTTGAGGAAGCCAAGCCGAGTCATCTCACTGGTGCGCGTGTCGGTTCTTTCTGCGTCGGCAACAAGGTATACCATATACAGGAACCGTCGCAGACGCCGCAACCGGCGCCGACTCATGACCTCATGACCAGCCAGTACTTTGCGGCCCGCCACATGTAGCCGGCTTCCCCCGGCTCCGACTGGCACCTCTTCCCGTTCTATTTTTCCGAAATTTGGCATCGCTTGACAATATTGTTTCTCTTCCCATTGCTGCAACATGAGATAGGTTTTGAGGCGACCGTCGCATCTGAGAATTTTCTAGTCAGCAGTCATCACCCGCTAACTTGACATGGGAGGGTTCTTTAAGGAGAGACATTACCGTCCAATGCAGTGGGCTGGTTTCCATGGCATCAACCTGCCAACAGTCAGACGTACCCAGTAAACTGATAGTACCTTATTATGGAGTTCTCTGGGCATGTCTTTGTCTGCGTGTAAGGGTCTGATTCTAGATTTAGACTGCGCCTGGAGGTTCATCCACGCAAAGCCCAATGCCTCATGTACACTTCGATGTACTCTCAAACAGGTTAATTTGGGGGAGCATCTTGTTTTCAACGAAGGGATTGTCAAGTGAAATACCAGGTTAGTACGTTGGGAGAAGAGCTACGACCAAGATCCAAACTCTTCCTCTCCACGGACCTTGCTCACTACCCAAGGTATCCATCCGTATGCCGAGTGACTCTTCGGGGACAGGGCAGGCAGCGAGTGGCCCAGAGGGCGGCCAGTCACAGCGCTACCCCCACCCCAATTATGACCGTCGCGGGGGAGCTGTGGCGCTAGCTCCAGGAACGTCAGCTACCTTAGCTCAGAGAAAGACCCCGCCAGTTTTGTCAATTTCATCATCGTTCTCGTCTGCTGCGACAACAGCTCTCTCTACCACCACGGCCAAACAGCTGCCACTGAGATTTGGAAAGCATCTCCTCCATTAACGAAGAGATACAACGGCAAAGATATACCGGAGCTTCAAACATGTCCCTGGCGCAGCTCTCCCGTCTGCTGCCCCTCCCAGAGGACGAGCTGAAGCAGATGCTCGACTACGCCAACACGCTGTCGAAATCTGAAGCTGCAGAACACTTCAACGACCTGCTGGGCGACTCACCGCAAGCCGTCGAATTCATATCTTCCTTTAATTCGCGACGACAAGAGAAGAAGCCATCGGCTCCGGCACCGCAAACCAGTTCGGTCAGCTCAGGTGCCCCTGAACCTGCACCAAAGACATCACGGGGCCCCAAGAAGAAGAAGGCAAACATTCACACCCCAGTCGCAAGGAAGATTGATGCCGCCCCTCCACCCGGGGCAAGCTATAGCAAGAAGGCACAGGAGGATGAGTGGTATGGCGGAAAGAAACCGGCTCAGGCGGCGGAAAGCAGCAGCGGCGGCGGGGGCGCCTTTCCACAACTCGGGGCCGCATCGTCGAGTTCCAAGCAAACGCCAAAGAGCGCGACCCCTCCTCCGCAACAACAAAGAACGGCCGGAGGCTACCTGATATCCGACGTCAAAGCGAAGCCCAAATCGAACCCCGTGTCACGATCATCTACACCTAAGCCCACGACGAAACCAACAAAGATATCGATTGCCGGCGGTACGCCCATGGCGGGCGCATCCACTGCCCTCAACGACCTAGACGCAGCCATCAGGTCTCTGGAGCTGACGACAAACCCAACAATGGGCGAGGACCCGAAAGCCAGGAGGTGTAATTGTGTGGCCACACGACACCCACTACAAACGGCGGCGCCCAACTGCCAGTCGTGCGGCAAGGTCATATGTGTCAAGGAAGGTCTTGGGCCATGCACATTCTGCGGCACACCTCTTTTGTCGTCGGAGGACGTGCAAGGGATGATTAAGGAGCTCAAGGCCGAGAGAGGAAAAGAACGCATGGCTGCCGATAGGGATGCCCATAAGCGCGCCGAGGTCAGCAAGAAGCCGGCGCCGTTCAGCCAGCACAAGATGTCCGAGGCAGAGGCCAAGGCAAAGGAGCACCGGGACAAGCTGTTGAACTTCCAAGCGCAGAACGCGCGGCGGACGACGGTCAGAGATGAGGCGGCAGACTTTGATGTGAGTGGAGCCATGGCCGGCAGCGGGGGCAACATCTGGTCGACGCCCGAAGACCGAGCCAGGGAGCTCAAGAGGCAACAGAAGATTCTTCGCGAGATTGAATGGAACGCGAAACCCGAGTACGAGAAGCGGCGGCAGGTGGTCAGCATCGATGTGGTGGGTGGCAAGGTCGTCAGGAAGATGGCGGCTGTGGAGCGGCCGACGACGCCAGACGAAGAGGATGTCGTTGTTGATGAAGATGTAGACGAGAATTATAGCCTCGTCGGCAAACAGCAAGGTGGTAGTCAAGGTGGTGGCGGCGGTGGTGTGTTTAGCCAGAATCCTCTACTGGGAGGACTGATTAAACCGGTGTGGGATGCCAAGGGGAAGGGAGCGCAGCTAGAGGGCCGCAAGGACAGGAAGACACAATGGAGAAGGGTACAGGACGACTTTGGGGACAACGAAGCGGTGATCTTGGATGGCGGGGCCCATGGATACTCTACGACGGGTGACGAGCCAGCGTGCGGTTGAGTTGTCTGAGGAGTACCAGGTTACGGACACGGGTGAGACATGGTCACACCCACATTCCTCGGGGAGTTGATGGATCCTTAAAACAAAGCATTGTCTAGCAGAGATGGAAGTGTATTCTATTGGTTGCATACATGGCATGATTGGAGGCATCTGATGGAAGACTCAAACTATCTTGGCTAGAGGTAGGATATGGAATACTTCCTTAATTAGACGTGTAATGCTCGGTTCACACTTGGGTTTGAGCAGTAACACTGGAGCTCCGGGGGTACCCGACTTGTGGCCCAATCATAAGCAAAGGCAACGCCTGGAACAGTAAGTTGGGTGTTTGGTGAAGAAGCAAACATATTGTTGTGAGGCTGCTAGCCTGTCTGTCAATTTGTTGGAAAAGGCTTGAGCTGAGAATGAGGTTTGCTCTGAGGAAAAAGTATGCGGATGGAAAGGTGGCGGTACGTCGGTACAATATCATGTGACTTCGTGTCTTTGACCTGCTGAGTCAGGCCGAGCGGGAAGCCGGGCGTGTCGCAGTCGGTCGAATTTTGCCGCCGCCGCTGCTGCGCAGCTGTCCTTGGTCGGGTGTCCTTTTTCTGGCAGGCGCGGCCCCAGAGACTGGCTGAATTCTGACATCAGCCTACAGTGCACACCACCACCATTCTTTTTGTCCCCATCATGTCCGTAGGCTTCCAGTGAATGCCATACTGCCCATTGTGCCATCCTCGCTTTGAAGCCTGGCTCGCAGACAAGCATCCTCTTGCGTGACTACCTTAGGGTCCGGCAATCTCCCCCGTCTGTTTAGCGAAACGAACCCCAAGAGCGTTAGGCCAGGACAACTGGGAAGGGAGTCGCCATTGTTACAGTGGAGAAGCCGCTGCAAGACACAGCCGAGAGACACTGGAGCTACCCAGAACAGGCGCAAGAGGAGTCAGCAATCCAAGGACACCTCCGTGCCGAGGGCAGAAAAACACAACGGGGACCTGGAAAGAGACGGACGGGCGAAAATAACGCGACGCAGACCGCGTAAACCGCCTGTTCCCCCAGTCGTCGCTCCTCTTGCTCCTCCCGTCTCCATCCCCGTCGCCCGTCGTCCCCAGGACCCCAACCGAGTACTCTATCTAGGTTAGCAGATGCTTCGACGCTGACAGTGGGCAGCACCGCCTGTATGACCTGCCTAGTGTCGTCCGCGTATGCAATCACAGCCCACCACCGCACCGCATCGCACCGCACTGTTCCTCCACCACACCGCACACCCGACCCTCGTCGCAACCCTCACCCGTCGCCTCGGTCACTCCTACACCTCCGAACATCACATCTTCCTCTCCCCTGCTCTCCTCACCGGCCTCGTTGACGTACATCGTCCTCATACGTGTGTCAATACGCAGCCCAATACACTTGCTCCCTCTGTCCATCGACCGCACGACGCCTCTATCAACATATTTCAGTCCGGCCCATCACTAATCTGTCCGCCATGGACTCTGCCTCCATCCCGCCTCGGCTGGGCCACATGCACGAAGCCGACCGACAACATTTCAAAATGCACTCTCCAGCGAGCCTGCAAGACACGGGGTTACTACCGGATAAAGTCGCTCGTCGTGCCCTCCCGCCCTTGGGCCGGCCCCAGACCGTCCCCTCGACCGACGCGCTCTCCAGCGACCAAGCCGCATCGTCCTTGGGCGACGCGACTGCGAATCACCACCGCAACCTCCACATCCTCAACCACGCACACGCACGCGCACCCGGCCACCAACTTCCACAGTCCCTGACTTCATTAAGTCACATTTCTCGTACAGCCGACCCTCAACCGTCCAAGAGCACAGCAATTGTTGCACCCTCCGTCGCTTCCCACATTTCTTCATCCGCCCTTCACCGACCGCTTCCCTCCTCTGACTCGCAGACCTCGAGCTTGTCTGCCGAATCCGCCAACGTCTTCACGCCGCCAGCCAGCCAGGGCGACGTGCCAGGAGGAAGCCTAAACGGTCACGATTCCAGCCAAGAGTCGCAATTACTCCAACTATCACACATTGCCGCCGCCCAGGACAAATTGGCCGAGGACAATGTCATGGCAACCGCCCGGAAGAGAATGGCCGACGGTGCTCTCAAAGAGAACACCTCTCCCGTCCGGATGGGCCACTCGAGGAACACTAGTACCGTCAGCATGGCTTCTACTACAGCCAGCAGTATCGGTGATGTAAGTCGACACGCGACACCAAGAGAGAGAGAGGCATCACAGCTGACTAGTATATGCAGTGGTCAAGCGACCTTAAGACGCGCCTCTCGTACGCAATGCTCAAGGTAAATCACGGCTGGCAGTCACACTCCATCGACGAGGTCGAGTCCATGGCATCCCAAGCCGCCTCGCCCACCTCTAGCCATTCCACTTTGCAGGGTCGTCAAGAGCTGTCGGCAAGTCCTCGCGCCAACATGGCTCGCTATGCACCCGTCAGTGCCGCCACGACGGCAAGCTCCGGCCCAAGCCCTGCAACCTACGAGTCCTTCTGGAAGGACGGCCAGAGATCCGCCCAGACGTCCGCTTCACCTCCCGCGCCCTCCCAGAATCAGAATGTTCTTACCCTTGCACCGCCTGCGCCTATCCAGCCGTCAAGGCCGATGGGAGGCCACAATCCGCGCCGGAATTCAAATCCTCGCTACACACCAACTCTCCTTTCCCACTCACACAGCGCGTCACCGCATACCCCTTCCCAGTCAAGTAATAATGCGATGCCAAGTCAGAGATTTGGCCGGACTCCAAATATCGACCCGAACCTCTTCTCACCTCACCAAGACGTTAGAGAGCAGGATGCCATCGAATCACTCCTCTTCATGAGCAGCCCCGGAAACTCGGCCAACATGAAGCACAACTATTCGTCATCAGTAGCGTCCAATTTGTCTGGTCGCCACGCTCTACCAAGCTCACAACCCCGTAAAAGCCTGCCCTCGCAACGGCCCGTGCCGCAAAAACGCGTGGGCTTCGAGAAGAGTCCCGGAGGCATGACGGCAGTCAGCGACATGGATATTGATATGGACTCACCTCAGTCACGGGGACCAATGAGGAGGCGTATCAATGGAAGTGCCAGTTTCTCCGGAGGGACCATCGGCAGCACTCTGCGTCCTCAATTGTCATTACCAGCGGCCCTTGGGAGTACCTCACGGCCACGGCCACGCTTAGCGGACGCAGATATTGAGCGAATGATTGATCAAGCAGCTCAAGCGGGCGACAGTTCTGACGACGATGACGGTGAAATTCAGATTCCTGGAAGAAATCGTCCAGAGGGCACCGTAGGCGTCTGATTGACGCGTCTTGTTTTTGTTTTCTTTGCATGGATGATCACCCGGGGGATCTGCACTTGCTTTGTTCGATTTGCATAGACACGTGTTTTGGCCCCCCCGAACCGAGTATTCAAGGTTCCTGGGAGAAACGCGATGATGATGATGACTCTTTTTTTCTTTGGGGCACATATAAACACCGGCACGTTGGGCAACGTCCATCCAAGGTCGGGCTAGTAGTACTACATGGGCATTTTCTTCACTGCTTTGTCACCCATCTTCCCACGAGGAATGGGCTCATTTGGAGAGCATAAGGGGGCTCGCACCTCTAACGGAGTTTGAATATTGGAGTTTCTTCAAGGATTTACTTACATTGCATGGCCTAGGCCTCAAGTAGCATCACGCGTGCATAGGATTGGAACCTTCAGCCATCATACAAAATGAAAGCAAGTTATTGGTTTAACGAGTTCATTTGCCGCGTCGCGAGACGACAGTCATATACGGTATCTGAGCAGGCAGTGAAGCCATCATTGCTATACATATCCCTGTGAATGTCGCCATCTCATCCCGACCATCCCTTTCTCTAATGCAATGACAGTGCAGGTATATAAAGGTAGTAGTGAGTTAAACCATCACGAAAAGACTCCCATAAACCCCAAAAACGCCAGTCGAAATCAAATTGTCGTCATCCTGAGTCACCTCTACCAGCCTCCGTGATGGCCATGGTGGCCATGGTGGCCATGGTGACCACCCCCGTAATGATGTCCGTGTTGCTTTTCACGACCCATCAGCGACCCGACCAGGCCCCCGAGTCCGCCGGAGGAGTGGTGGCTGCCGCCGCCATGGTGCGGCGGGCCGTAGTACTGACCGCCGTACGGTGGCGGGGGTGGACCGCTGTGGTGATGGTGATGGCCGCCGTAGTGATGAGGGGCAGGCGGCGGCGGTGGCGGGTAGTGGTGGCCGTGATGGCCGTGGTGGCCATGGTGGCCATGGTGGCCGTGGTGACTCCCGCTCAACCTGTGCTCGAGCTTGTTCGCGACGACGGCGCCGCCCAAGGCACCCGCCACGGCGCCGAGTGTACCCCCGAGGAACTTCTTCCCCGCGTAGCCTCCGGCTGCGCCGCCGCCGATGGTGGAGATGAGACCGCGTTCGCCTTCTTGGCCTGTGCCGAGCTGGGCGTCGTAGCCTGGCGGACCCGTGGAACGGGAGCGGTGGTGTGAAGAGGAAGAAGAGCCCGGGACGCCGAGGGAGGAGAAGGAGGAGCGGGGCCGTTCCGAGTTTGCGGAGCGGGGGCGGTAGCCTGCTTTGTCTACGAGGGGGCCTGCGGATAGGTGTTGGCTGTGGCGGGAGGATGAGGAGCCCGGGGTGTGTGTGTTTTGGCGGGTGCCGCCGTAGTATTCCTGTGCTGACATTGATTCTCGGTTGTTTTGGTTGTGCCTGATGATGTTGCAAGAGTGTTGTAGCGTGTTGTTGCGTGGGTGAGTGAGTGAGTGAGTGTGTGTGTGTGTAAGTGCTTTGTGTTCGCTTCTCGAGAGTTGGGGTGTAAGTGGCGTGGTTTTGATGAATGAAGGCGAGAATTAGGCAGAACTGGGGCACACGAGCAGTCTTAAGTAAAGCGGTCGTCTGAACAGGTTCCCTGGGAACCAGTCCAAGCTGGACGGCAAAAGAGGGATCAAGGCATGACTGGGAAAAGCCTCGCAACGAGGACACAACCGCGGCGCGGCGCAAGGTGCGCTGGGGCGGAGCTTCGGCTTGGTGGTGGTATTGCGTAAGGTAATGCCGCGGCCCCTCTTTCTCTTCCTATGAAAGTCCTAAGACACAACCTCACTCCCGCGTCCATCCCTTCAGGCTCACCCCACATCCAACGCCCATGCTTTACATGCAACTTACCTCGAAGAGTCATCCTTTCATTCTTTGGCAGCAGAACGGCTGAGATTTTGAAGCGCTGGATGTATTCGTGCCTTGGTTGTGTTTGGTCTGGCGGCGCTGGTGGGCGAGACAGACGGTCATGATACCGAGTCTCCGGGTACCGTCACGGGACTGTCTTGACAGGTTTCTGTATGGCGCACCTATGTCTGTGTAGGACGGGATGTCTGATGTGAGAAAAGGCGCCTATGCTCGTCATTGCTTACCCCGGCATTTATGCCTTGTGCCCTGTCCTCTCCCCTCAGTCTCCAGACGGTAAGAGTACGTAGCGTTCCATCTGCAAGCACACCCTATTTTTTTTTTTGCTTATTCACGGCTTGTGGATGTCTGGCCTGCAGACGGCGCAGATTGCAGCGCGGCGGTACCGCCGTTAATGGAACTAAGCGTTGCTTGCGATTCCCGCGAGGCGCATGCTGAGGAAAACCAATCGTTGTAGGCGAACTGAGCGGGGGAGATGCGAGATTGCCGGGTTGACAAGCAACCTGACAGAGAGCCCGTAAACATGAGGAAAGAGTTCGGGGGAGGCGGTGCGCTAAGCCCCACCCACATGGCTCCACTCTTCCTTCGGGATAGGCAACATGTCACTGTGCCACTCCCCGTCCCGCGCTTCAGGTCTTCGGCGTTAGGTGCACCTCACCAGGCGGCGAGTCCGGAAAGAGCCACGGCGAATTGCGTGTCGTTCACCTTGACCAGTCACCACCACCACCAACATCAACGTTGAGCAGCGTCACTGCTGAGGCTTCGTGAGAGTCATAGCTGGCTCCGTAATCGGTCTCGTCATCCTCCGTTCACGACTCCTCGGCTACAATCGCACTTCGACATGAGATAATCCCAAGGCAACCATGTCACATGTAGTTAACCTTCATCCCAGCTCAGCCTCATAGACACCTCAGACACGCCAATGCCTCGCAGACGCAAATCAACCCTTGGCACTTTTGTTTTAGATAACTTCAGACGACATTATGTTTTGAACGCAATACCTTAATCTTCTACGTCGCGCGCTTCTCCACGGCTTTACTACCTTTACTACAAACACTCTATCCGTACTTCAGCTGCCAAGACGGCAGACACGGCTCCTCAGTAACAAGGTTCGCCTGTTGGTCGCCGACTGATGAAGAGCATGAGCCCGGTAACATGCCAATCTGCCCAGATTGAGACCCACCCTGCCTCCTTCTAGAACATATCGAAACATTTTCCAGGTTCCTGGAGCCCGGGCCTCACTCGCGGTGCGAGCCCACTGCCGTAGCGGAAATACGACGCTCCGCCGCAAGTTGCTCCCGCCAAGGCCCTATCTCCGTGTCACCCGGCCCGACGTGGATCTACTGCAGTACGGATACGGATAGGTGACTTGGAACGTGACTACGCCTCACGTGAACATCCCATCGGGCCTCATTTCTCGGCAGCGTACGTATTCTCGCAACATTTCGTCTCATTGCACCGTTGGACATGCTCTAGACCAACAGAATTTAGGACACAACCAAATTTCCCTCCAACGCCAGGTTTCTGCTCGACGCTCCAACCCTGATGGTGAACGTACCCGCCGGCACGACCCAATTCTGGCTTTGGACATCCCAATAACTCAGATCCTTCCTCCTCAGGTTGAATGTCGCCACTGCCGATTCGCCCTGACCGAGTCTCAATTTCTCGAACCCGCGGAGCTGCTTCGGCGGAGTAGGGAGAGCGCCGGCCGGGAGGGTGAGATACAACTGCGCGATCTCGGCACCGGCGATAGTTCCCGTGTTCTTGATGGTCGCCGTCACGGTAGCTACAATCTCGAAAAGATCCGCGCGACCACCAGGCACGATATGGCCGACGGCCGGGCCGGACTTCGCGGTTGAGGTGACGCTAATGTCAGAGTAGGTATAATTGGTGTACGCTGCACATTTTGTTAGCATGGTTTTCAAGTGAAAATGAGGACCATCCTGGAAAGGGACTCACACAACCCGAAGCCGAACTCATACCGCGGCTCGATGCCGGCCTGGTCAAAGTGGCGGTAGTCAATAAAGATACCCTCGGCAAAGTTGTCCTCGAGTGTCTTGGAAACCGTAGTGCCGTAGTCCGCGGCACTCTTGCCAATCGTGTATGGCAGCTTTCCGTTCGGGTTCGTCGCGCCCCAGAGGATGTCAACGAGCGCGTTGCCAGTCTCCTGCGACCCCAGCCCGGCCCATACGATGGCCTTGACGCCGTGCTGCGCGAGGATCGTCTCGAGGATGATGGGTCCCACGCTGTGTACCACGACTACGACGTTGTCGTTGACTGCGGCCACGGCCTTGACGAGCTCGTTGCCGTTGTGCCACGGATCTAGCGTGTTGCGGTCGCCAATGTTTCCGTCGACGGTGATGTATCCTTCGCCCGAATCCGACGTGATAAAGACAAACGCTGCGTCTGCGCCGGCCGCTGCCGTGACGCCCTGCTGCACGTCGTCAGTGTTGCTGGCCCTTACCTCTGTGCCGTCCTGCTGCGCCCGCTCCCGCATCGCTTCGAGCGGTGCGACGAGGTACGGGTAGTCAACCGTACCCGATCCCCATCCCATTCCAAGAGTTCCAATATTACAGCTGCGGTCGTAGCAGGCGTTGATGCCGGCCGGGTTGTTCACGGTCGAGGACCCGATGACGGCGATCTTCTTGGGCGTCTTGAGCGGGAGGATAGCGGCGTCATTCTTGAGCAGCACAATGCCGTCCCTCGCCGTGGCGCGTACGTTCTCCTTGTGGTTCCCCTGGACGTTGGCGGCGAGGTTGACGGGCGGATACTCGCCCTGATCCTGGCCGAGGAGGTACCACGCCGCTAGGATCCTGCGGACCTTATCCTCGAGCGTCGACAGCGAGACGGTGCCGTTCTCCACGACTGTCTTGAGCTGCGGGCCCCACCAGACCGACTCGGGGTCGTTGTTGTAGTTGGCGCCCGGCATCATCATGTCCAAGCCGGCCTCGGCGCCGCTGACGGTACCCGTGGTGGCGTACCAGTCCGTCATGATGTACCCGGGGAAACCGAGATCTTCCTTGAGGAGCTTGTTCATGACGGCGTCGTTCTCGCACGCCCAGGTGCCGTTCACCTTGTTGTAGGAGCACATTACGGATACGACGTTGGCATGGACGGCCTCGGCAAAGGGCCAGAGGTAGAGCTCATGCAGTTCCCTGTCGCCGACGTTGCTGCTGATGGTCTCGCGGTTGAGCTCCTGCTCGTTGACGATGTAGTGTTTCGCCGTCGCCTGGACGCCCGCGGACTGCATGCCCTCGATCGTTTCCTTGGTCGCGATGCCCATGAGGTAGGGGTCCGGGCCGAAACCTTCCCAGTTTCTACCGGCGTTTGGCGTCTATTCAGGATTGATCATTAGCTAACTCTTCCCCATCCGTCTTGTTTTTTGCCGCAACAGTGGCGGGTGGGAAACACGCACTTTACCCAAAGCACCACACGCAGGGCCAAGCATGACATGGACACCAACACCCCTCGCCTCAGCAGCCTTGAAAGCGCCCCGCTGGCGAATCAACTCGACGTCCCACGTCGCAGCCGCTTGGATACTTGGAACAAAAGCCGTCACGCTGCTGGCGTAGCGGACGCCGAGGGGCCCGTCCTGGAGACAGAGCGAGGGGTAGTTTATGGAGGACGCGGGCGAGGTGTTGCCGACGCAGAGGCCCTTGCCCCAGCCGATTCCCGAGACGATGCCAACCTTTTCGTCGAGGGAGAGCCGGGACAGCGCCGCGTTGGCTTTGGTGTAGGCCGCGTTCCATTCTGGGGTGCGACGCGGGCCGCCTCCCGTGGAGTTTTGCGCGCTGGCGAGGGACGCCGCTGCGGCGAAGAATGCAATCTTGGGGGGATGCATTCTGGCGGGTGTAGGGAGTCTCTGGGACGGTTGACGAGGGAACGAGTGTGTGCCTCCTTGGGGTCATTCACCTTTATATACTCCCAACCCGGAGGTCTGGTCTGACGCTCATGACCTTGGCAGCTTCCCTCCCCGCTTAGTGGGCCGTGACGATCTGTATCCTTCAATATGTTCCATCCAGTCGCGCCAGAGGGGTCCAGCTAAGCTGCCGAGGATATGGAGAAGAGGGAAACGCCGTCATTCTCGCAAGGTCAAGCTGCGTCAATTAGGCTCGGTATGTATGCCCCGGGGCAAGGACATGTCTGTTTCCGTGGCTTAGTGGTTGGCGCAGTACAAATTGCCAATTGGCCCTTTCGTGTCTTGGCCCTGCGCGTCTACATTATAGGGGGGAGTATTGAAGTCGGGTTGTACCCAGAAATGGGGTGGCCGCGAGTAGTATCCAGCGGCTTGATATTCAAGATCCATGGCAGTGATTAGTGTTCAGTGTTTTTGTCAACATTTGTTTCTTTGTGCGTTCATCCCATAACCACAGCATGGAGAAAACTCTGAGCACATCGCCGCGGCTGCTCCCCTCCGACGCGAGAAATGGGGGCAAGATCGTCCCGCAACCACGTCGAATTGCGTTTGTCTCTCAGGTGACATTGGCATTGCCGTAGGGTTGCATTCTATGTCTTGGAAGCCGGGGAATGATGTACATGATGGGCGCATGTAAATGAGGGGAAAACTCCAACTAATACGCGGTTCCTTCAGGTCTTCGTGGAAAGTAATTCCCGCGAATGGACGGACGTCCGTTCAAAAGACGTCGGTGGGCCGTCTACCGTGATCCAATTGTAATAGAGCGGTTATTGTATCGTACACTGTACACTGCCCATTATCATTCGTCAGAGAGCGAATCCGGGCCACGTCGGTTGAATGTCGTGGACCCCTGAACGCAATTCAATGACGTTGTAAATCTCTACAGATTCAATCAATGTCGGCCCGCTGCAACCCCGCGTTGAGATGCCCGCTCGCTTAGGAGCCCCGGGGACGGCGGTGGCGGAGACTAATATTCCCCTCCCGTTCCCCGTTCCGAAGAACAACAATGGATGAGCTCTTCCGCGCAATTATGTAGGCATGCATCTCTGACGCAATGACGACGGTGTATCGAGCCATTTGGTAGCGATATGCTTTTAGTCCTGTTGTGCTACTCATGTTTAACCTTGCCTAGGAGTTACACACAACCGATTGGTTCTAGTTCGGAAAAGCTCTTCCAAGTAGCTGCAATGGGGACGCGGGGATGCAAGGTGCCTTTTAAGGTTGTGCGCATCGTCGGCTGAGGCTGATTTCTAGAGTATGAAACAACCGTTCCATGCGCCTAATTTCCTGGACCCAGAACGAACAAGAAGAGGAACTCAATCGAATAGAACTTCTTCATGCTGTAAAGAAACCTAGTTCACTCCCCCTGTACTTGGAACACTAAATGAACGGTGGTGACCTAATCCTGCATTCAGTTTGAGGGATGCACGAAAAGACCCTCATCATGTACGAAGTAGATTAAATAGGTAGGAAACGATGCGCTTCAAACATGTTTAGTCAGGATCGAAGAAAACTGAGCAATGGTCAATCAAACTCAACGGGCACAAATAGCTTTACGATTGGGAACTGGTTGGAGGAAGAACTCCAAAAAAGCGGTAAAAATATAGAAGATGCGGCCAGTGTGGATTGAACACACGACCTTCAGATTAAGTGATTGAAGTTAACTTCAGTCTGACGCTCTCCCAACTGAGCTATGTCCGCCACGATCTTCATTGACTTTGGAGGGCGCCTTGCTGACCTAACAACGGACATCTGAAATTTAGGTGACAAAACCCAGTCCAGTCTCAAGGCTCACCAACCTCAAGCTAGTAGAAACGAGCCCAAACAACTAGGTTTCTTGCTTATAGTTTAACTAATCAAGATACGCAATGGAGTATTCTACTTTGAAGCGGTCAGCGTGGCCCTACGAAGCTGGTACGAGTCGTCAGGCGTCACGACTGGGCGACCCACTCGCGGAAACAATCATTGGGAGGCTAACGTACGGAGTCACAACTTTAATGGGGTCTACTGCAGCGACGAGAGAACTAGCTTTTTGGTCTCGAGAGATCCATCTTCCTTGCAAAACGCTGAACCTTATCTTTTTCAGGCTGAAAAGCACCGTTCTGTCATGCACCGACTGTCGGGAGTCCTTTTTGTACCGCAGCCTCTGCAGGTGGACTGAACCCAACGACATCCGATATCTTGGTCGAGTTGTCGTATCAAGATGCTGTACAGATAGCATCTTCATCCTACGCGGTTTACAGATCAACTCTACACGGAACAAGGTGACTCAGCCAAACATAGTCGGTTAGACTCGGCGACTCGCTCTCGTTCCGCCCTCCACTAAGCTTTGCATTGTTAGACCTGGTCCACGCCCTACGGAGAACATGTACATGCGTGTGCTTCAGCGGGTCGAAGCGGGTCACCCTCCGATTGAGACCCATGCTCCGGGGTGCGGAGGTGGATGCGGCTCTTCTTTGGACTTAATCTTGTCAAGCAAGGGTTGGTAGATAAACCATTGATTAATTGTGACTCAAAGGTATCTCGAAAAAGACGACTCACATATGAGAACAGCATTAGTATAAATAACATTGGACTAGCCATTGCCAACATCAGTCAATTCACAATAACTTCATCTTGGATCAAATCATCATCGTTCGCTGCGGAGCTTATCATTGAGGAGCTTCCTGCACCTCATTAACATACATAACCAACAATATCGTTTCCCCCATCATATAGAATCTCTCACATCATGAGTGAACTCGCTGAAGAAACAAGCAAGCTCCAGCTGGACTCCACGCCATTTGGAAAGCCCATGTTGAAAGAGTTCCTCTTCGACCCAGCTTATCGCAACCTGAACCATGGTACAAATGGCCTTCCCCCTTCCAATCAAAGCAATGATAACTACTCGAACCACTTCTAATGCTCAGTCTTTTGAAAAACGCTAGGCTCATTCGGCACTATCCCGCGCCACATTCAAAAAGTCCTCCGCGCCTACCAAGACAAGACAGAGGCCCGTCCGGATCCCTTCATCCGCTGGACCTACCACGACCACCTTAGGGAATCCCGCAAAGCGGTAGCAGAGATCATCAACACCCCCCTCGAATGCACCGTCTTCGTCCCCAACGCCACAACCGGCGTGAACACCGTCCTCCGCAACCTCGCCTGGTCCGCGGATGGCCTCGACGAGATACTCTACTTCTCCACCATCTACGGCGGCTGCGCCAAGACTATTGACTACATCGTCGACACCCGAAACGGCCTCGTCTCCGAGCGCGGGATCCCGCTGACCTACCCCATGGAGGACGACGAGATCGTCACCCTCTTCCGCGACGCCGTCGCCACGAGCCGCGCGGAGGGCAAACGCCCCAAAATCTGCGTCTTTGACGTCGTCACTAGCTTACCCGGCATCTGCTTCCCCTGGGAAGCCATGACCGCCGCCTGTCGCGAACTAGACATTCTGAGTCTCATCGACGGCGCGCAGGGCATCGGGATGGTGCACCTCAACGTCTCGGCCGCCGACCCGGACTTCTTCGTGTCCAACTGCCACAAGTGGCTCCACGTCCCGCGTGGGTGCGCCGTCTTTTACGTCCCCGAGCGGAACCAGCACCTCATGGCCTCGACGGTGCCGACGTCGCACGGCTACGTCCCCCGTTCTGGCCAGGTGCGCTTCAATCCGCTGCCGGACAGCAAGGATTCACTCTTTGTTACCAACTTTGGGTTCAACGGGACGTTTGATAATAGCCCGAACCTGTGTGTCAAGGACTCGGTCGAGTGGCGCAAGAGCGTTGGTGGAGAGGACAAGATTATCGACTACCTGCACACTTTGGCCAAGAGTGGCGGCAAGAAGATTGCGGCGATCCTCGGAACGTTCATTCTAGATAACAAGTCTGAGACGCTGACAAAGTGCGCCATGGTCAATGTTGCGTTGCCAATGGTGACGGGACCTGATGCAGAGACTGTTTCAGTGGGTTCTGATGGCACTGTCGTCGTTCCCGAGACAGAGGCCGGGGTTGTTGGGAGCTGGGTGGTGTCGAAATTGATGGATGAATACCAGACTTTCCTGCCCATTTACAGGCACGATGGCCGTTGGTTCACGAGGGTGAGTGCACAGATCTACCTTGACGAATCGGACTTTGAGTGGACCGGCAATATGTTGAAGGATCTGTGTAAGCGCGTGGGGAATCGAGAGTACAAAGGAAAAGCGAGTGAGTAATTGGGACGACATGGGAAACTTTTTTTGGTGTGAAATGTTTGTATATCACAATGCCATTCGTTTACTATGCCGGCTAGAGAGCTCAGAGGATATCTAAGCTAGAATGAGATTCACCATGTATCCCGCAATCATCTCGGTGGAAAAAAAAAATCTGTAGTTGTCTCAGACGCCCATGACCATGGCGATTAATACGGCTTGGAGGACGACCATTAACCCTCCCTTGGCAGCCGTCAACCTCTCACTACCGGACGTCGAGCCGGCGTTGTTCATGTTGTTCATGTTGTTGTCCCTGGACACCAAAAAGTGAATCCTAATGCCAAAAAGACGTGAAATTGTCGCACATGTGTCAATGCTTACGCCGCTGCGCCAGCGCCAGTAGCAGGTACTGCCGCCTTTTGGTTATTGACGACGTGCTCGGCCATGCCGAGGGACATGTTTCCACCGTTGAAGGCGACGAATTGCGACTTGAACAAGATGTCTCCGTAAATCTGAAGCTTGGACGTAGTTGCCTGGAGGCCACCGAAGCAGGCTGGAAAGGTGTTAGTCTGAGGTCGGTAACTATAAGGACTCTCATGGGTGACTTACTCTGAGCATCAACCTGGGCAAAGTTGATGTCGGCTCCCTTGACACGGGCCATGTAGACACCGCCGATATCCATCATGAGGTCGGGAAGCTGGGCATTGCAGGGGAAGGTGACGCCACCGACCTGCTGATCCTGCTTGGCACCCTGAACCTGCTGGTAGTAGGCTTGGACCATGGTAGGGTTGGCGAGGATGAGGGTGGTACCAGTGTCGGCAATAGCCTGACCGCCAGCGGTGCCCTGCTGGACCTCACCGCCGGCAACCTGGAACTTCTCACTGCTGAACTGCCAGAAACCGGTGGTAGTGTTGATGGGGATCCAGGCCATCTGGCCGGTGAACTTGGTGTTATCGATACGGCCGAACTCATAGGCACCGACGGTCTTCTTACGAAGATCCGCAGTGAAGACAGGCTCAGCCAGGCTGGGCATGACGTTGTCGAAGAAGGTCTTCTGGGCTGTGGGCTTGACAGTGTTCAACTTGGAGAAGGCAAGACCGAGGAGGCCGTTGTTGGCGGTGTCTTGCACGAACTGCTGTGAGACAGCGGTGGCCATCTCGATAGCCTGCTCCTGGACAACGGCACCACCAATATCAACAACGTCAGTTCCGACAACACCCTGGGCACCGGAGCCGTCACCGTATCGGATGGAGAACTGCTGTCCTGAGAGCATCTTGGCGTTCGTGCTCTTGGTGGGGTCATAGAGCTGGTGACCAGTCTGGGACGAGGTGTCGAGCATGGAGGTGAACACCCAGAGGTCGGAAGAACCACTGTCAAAGTCGACATTGACCTCCTGGCCGCCGATCTTGATGGGCGATACATACTCGACGTCGTTGCGGATCGGGGTGGCGGTGACGAGACCAGTTCCAGGTTGTCCAGCGGCGGCAGACTGATTCTTCACGCCGGCAGCGTGAGACTTGAAGCTCTCAGCCTTGACAGGCTCGGGGTTCTGAGCCGCCATGGCGTCCATGGCATCCTGCAGACCCTGGGGAATGGGCATGCTGAACTTGCGGTACGCCTTGATCAGCTGCCTCGGACCATTGTGACCGTTGAAGTTCTCATTTGGCACTCTGGGGATGAGGAAGTGTCCTCGCTTCTGAATATTCGCGCGCTTCTCGACCGGGGAGGCGTCTGCAAAGGTTGAAAGGAGGCCGTAAAGGACCAGCGACCGCAATGAAATTGACTCCATGGTTGTGATGTAAAACGTCCGTCACCAGATAGACAACTCTAGGGATAAGGGGGAGAATAAACAGGCCACACCAGGCGGCTCTTTTGCTGTTAATGAAAAGGACGAGGAGCTGTCACCAGGGAGCCCTCAAAGATAAAGAATTAAGAAAAGAGATGTCGTGAATGAACGAAACTGGTGACGGGGGGGGATAAGAGATGGCCAAGAAGAGAAGAGTAACCCGGGTCGGAAAAGAAGAAGAAGGAGGTGGCGGACAAGGCCGAGTTAATGTTCAAAGTAGGAATGTGAAGACATGGCGACTGGCCCGGCCCAGGAAGCGAGGATTGTACATCTTGCAAAAAATGGGACGACGACGTCGTGCGCTCGTTGCTTGGAGGCTCCAGGCGAGCCAAGTCTCAAGTTGTGATGCCCTGGTCACAGATTGTCCCGCTCAGCAAGGGGCGTGCGCGTCCATGTCAAGCCATGCCAACCCTGCAATATCTGGCGTCGAACCGGTCGAACCACTGCAGAGTCCTGACTGAGAGCGAAGGCGAAGAGAGGGTGAAGGAGGGAGGGCGTGTGCGCTCGCTGGAATCGAGGTCCCTCCCGTCAGCCGGGACCCAAGACGTGAGTTGCAGCAACGAGGTGGATCTGGTAGCATGTTTGGAATTCTGCGAATACACCACGGCCCATGTCGAGGGGAAGATCAGTCACGAGCAGGGGAGTCCCCTTACCCCACAGTCGACCATGCCGTGATCCAGAGCAGGGATATCGGTCGATCAGTGCCGGGAGACTAGCGCAAGGGGGGAAGGGATGCTGAGTGTGTGGGTGTGGATGGTGGGCATCGCATCTTTCTGCGTGGCGGCGCTGGCCCTACCCATCCTCGCTTTTTGTTCGCAACTATGCGCAAGCCCGTGGAGGTAGGTCTGAGTGAGAGCCAAGAAATATCGTGCTTCGGATGTAAAGTCTCATGGGCTGTGGAAGCTGATGAGCCGTTGATCTGAGGTCTCAATTAGCTTATTTTGAACCATTTAAGCGTTGGTGAATTGGCAGGTTGGCAATGCGATATGATCCCGGCCCCCCTTTCAAATAACAGCTATCAGCACCATTCTGCACATGCACGACGTTTGGCGCCCGGCGAGAAGAAGCGAACGGTAAGACGAGGGCGCTGTCAGATCTCCCTAGCGCCGACACTTTCTCTGCCACAAGGCCTAAGTGCCGTGGGCTACTACGAGAAAGACACAAGCTCGCCGCAGCCAAGCGATTGCCAGTCCTCGGGCTAGTACTCGGGACCAGCTAGCCGGGCCGTTGCATTTGATCCAGTCCTGCTGCAGATGGCCAGACAAGTTGCTCGTCACCCCTTCTCCACAGGACGGCGCCAGTGAGCCGAACTGGTTCCGTTGATCCAGAAAACTTGGTCAAGTTTGCGTGGCTAAGCATTTAGACGACGTAGCAGGTAGATGTCGTCGGCCCACGCATATCCCCATCGGCCCTATTCCAATTATCCAAATGGATGCTGGATGTTGGATGCCGGCAAGCTGTCGAGTTGGGGCGGCTTCTCATCAGACAAAACACTGACAAAGAGGATGGCGAATATCCGACGATGGCGAGAGAAAGCAGCAAGGTATCCATCCTTACGGGTTGGATGCTATATTTGGCCCCAACCGTCAAACGGTCAGTAACCCTTCCACGCTCTCGAGAACGAACCGGGTGTAGGGCCCTGGTCGGTTGGAAACGCACGTAAGGCAAAAGAGGGAGTTTTCTTTGACCGACAACTAGAAAACAGCATCATCCCCTTTTGGATCCAACATCAAGGGGGGTCCCGCAGGGGAGGGGGGATTGAGCGCGGGAGAGCGGCGAAGGGTGAGGATTCAACGGTGCATTCGAGGTGGACGGCATCCCGGATTAATCTCGTCATTGGTCCTCTCTGATAAGTCAGCGTCCGCAGTTGTTTCCGCTTGGCGTTTCAGCGACCCCCATGGTTGTTTTCCCGTCACTAATTGTAGCCAAGCCTCGCGGCGCTTGGTACAGCGTACAGCAGTAATACTGCTGGGCAGAGCAAGACTTTTGGCCAAGGGCGATCTGGTCCACAGCCTCCATGTTGCGGCTTGCGTAGCGTGCTAAGCTTTTGGTGTTGCGGAAGAGGAATACCGATCATAATTATCCCTAGGTCGAGGGCTGTATCGGACGAAGGAGAAACAAGTGCCATTGCTGAAGCCAAAACTGTCATTGTTTGCGGACCTCGGACACGCCCTAGGGAACGGGGACAGGTAGCCATCGTTCTCGTGTGTGGCAGACGCAGACAAACAGCTGATGGACGGGGCGGCGTCTCCCGCCGCATAGCTTGGAACGAGCTCCTGTTCGACTAGGCCTCATCTCCGTTGATTGGATTCTCGTTTATCTCCAGCCATGGTCTCCGCGAGGAAACAACCCCTTGGCCTAGTAGCTCAGGAGACGTGGTTTGGAGTTTGGGTCCGACGTGCCCTTTGGGAAGGTTGGTAAGTAGAAAGGGCAATGTCGGCAAGGTGGCTGACGTATCCACGGGTAAACGGCGCGTCTATACTGTCTCTGATCAACGCGTGGTCCGGGTTGGAGTCAGCGAGAGACACAACGAGGCCCAATCGGTCGATGGTGGCCAGGGGTGGCCAGGGGTGGCCAGAGGTGTCCAGGCCAGACCAGCACAACCAGGTCTGCTGGCGGGTGTCGATGCTGGCAGCAAGGGCAGAAACAGAATTGAAGCAAAAGATGGTGGGAGGACTCCGGTGGGAGGACTCAGAGAAGTCCCCCCTTCGTCGAGTGGACAGGCTGACAGGGCCTGAAACGATCCACTGAGCACTCTGAGACAGAGTTGCGTGGCGGGATCCCAGCAACAAAACTCCGAGCGGCCAAATGTTCCGAGCGGCACATGTGCCCCGGGCCTAGCGTGGTAGCGTAGGTACTACGTAAGGCAGGGTACATGAATTCGTCCAGGAAGCGTCTGCATGTCGTTGAACATCGACATCCAACCAGCCAGCCACCCTTCATACTCATTTCAACAAGGACATGGCTGGAGCTGAAGAGCTTAGCAGAGAGTAAGTCGACCTTAGTTATCCGGAAAGGCGAGGTGTCGCAGAACACAACGCCCCGTTGCACGATTTGCAATACTGTTTGTCCTGCACAAAAATGAATGTGTCGTCTTGTACTGGGCATCAAGCAGATCCGTTCTCTTGCGACGACGGATCAGCGCTTCATCTTCCCAGGGACCTTGACAGATGGATCTCCAGACCGAAGTGAAGAGGATAGATTTCTTCCTGGCAGCATGTGCATGCGTCCTATATGAGAGTAATTATTCTTATTCGCAATGCGCCGTATCCGTACCGATCTATGTGTGCTGAACTGGCATGATTGATGGTTGCCATAGGGCAAGACAGGCAGCTTCAAGCTGAGCCGTCACCATGCGAGGAATTCGACCCCTGCGACTGGTACAGATATGAGATCAACTATAAATTTGGCTGCTGCCGTGAGGTGCGTGTGGACACTCTCTACTGCTCATCATCTGAACCGGCGTAAGCCCTTGGTAGACATGGTAAAATGGGAGACATGGTAGAAAGTTGTCATGTCTGAGGGAGCAACTCTAAAAGCTAATCTGATAGCCTTGCATGTAGATACGCTGCCTTTGCTCGGGTTGTTACGTTGGCTCGGCGGAAACATGGTTTGCTAGTTGGAACATTGACAACGGGCGTGCATAGTGTAGTGATGGCCCGTGTTCGCGAGAGTAATTGCCCAATACGCTCGAACGGTCTAACTGGCAACCTCTGCAATGCCAACAATGGTGAAAAGTCTGTATACCGGCGATTCAGACACCGTCATTAGCAACTTGGCAAGTTAAGTAACTTTCAGTGGTCACCGCGATGAGGAAGTATCGAGAGAGTGGGCGGTAAAATTAGAGTCAGCAACTCGCAGCACACGGGTTGTTTGTCGGCGCCCGGAGCCGCCACATTCGCCTACACCATCTCTCGTGTTCGGGAAAAGCGATGGGGGACTCCTGCGATGAGGTCAGCGCCCGATTGATGAGTCGAGCAACTCACGCGTCGGAAATCTAGCCTCAAGATTTCGGGGCTTGCGTCCATTCCAGTTTGGCCAGGGGAGCGCAGGCACTGCAAAGCTTGATCTCGCATATGTTGGCTTGAATAAAGTACGAGGGAGTGAAGAGACGGGCATGCAGGACGCCCACGTAGAAACGCAAAGTATGTCTGGTAGGGCTTCCAGAGAAGCGAAAAGAATAAACGGACAAGGCGACTCCATAAGACAAAGTTGGAGGATCACCTGCGGAGGGTCTTGGTGTTTCTGCCAAGCCGGATGGTGGCGGTGGCGGTGGTGGTGGTGGTGGTGGCAGTCGTGGAGGCGTCTGTTGCAGACTTGGAGTGGCTTGGGCGAGTGAGAGGAAGAAGAAGAAGGAAATTATGTTTCTGCCTCACCAGCAAGGCAACTAGAAACAATACACAAAAAAGGATAACGCTAAGCCAAGACAGGCAGAATGCTTTCACGCGTGCTGACCGGGGACCTCGAATGGGAACGAGACTGCAAAAAAGTTGAAACTCCCGTGACCCCACGTGATCTGGCCCGTGCAGCAGCTGAAGGCTGAAGCCCGGCTGGCACGGGAACGGAAGATCGACAGCCAATGGGAACCATCTCTCCCTTCCAGAGGAACACCCGCGGACACCTGTCTGGATCTGTCCAGACTCTAGAGTCTCTGGACCCCGACACGTGCTCGACTCCGTCGCTCCGAGCATGACCGCTATGACTAGCCCCCATCAAGACTAGCGCGAGGGATGAGTCCAGTGACTCCAGTCCGGTCCAATGCCGGGGCGGCCCAGCCGCCCAACACCACCAGTCCACCACTCTCAGTTCTCCCAGTCCTCTCACCATTAGGTAGGTACTACGAGAGTCAGAGAAACGTGAGTTTTGCGCCCGACTCGCTCCCAATCAGTTGCTTCCTATCGATGCCCCGCCTCGACCTAACTATGTAGAGCCCCCCTACCTTAAGTCTCTCCGGGTTCAGCGTTCAGCTCCAGCTGCCAGCCTCGCTGATTTACTGCGACAAGTGAACGCACACGCACCCGCACCCGCACCCGCCCTCCGCGACTCGCTCCTCCCACGCAACCAAACCCACCGCCCACGCCGCAGGCAGAGGAAGCTGCCCGTCGTTTTGGTTCTTCCCCACGCGCAACGTTCGCTTCCCGTGCAACGCAAACTCGACGAGCCTCCGTCGGGGTCACACGCCCACACACAGAACCCGCCCGCGCTACACGCCCCCCATCCATTCATCCAACTTGCGCGCACCTCTGCTTTTGCTCACCACCCTCTGATCAAACATCACGGTCCTGCTGCCGTTCCATCTCCGAACCCGGCCCATATCGCGACTTCCGTAGGGGTCCAAGACATTGCCGCACAACGCCCTATTCCGCCACTAACCCCCCAGCGAGCCTCTGTCCCTAACTTATCCCCCTTCGACGCTTGGGGGATACCCTTATCCTCCACCGTCCTGCTCGCCACTCCATCCCTCCTCCTCCCTTCCGTCCGTCTGCTCTCGTCGAAAGGACTCAATGTCAGACGATGAGTTCGGCGGCCCGGACGGTCCACCCGGCAGCGCCGGCGGAGACCGCGACAAGCGTGCACCGCGCTTCAGCTGGACACCCGCCTATGAGGCTACCTTCTTCCGATCTCTTTGCGACTCCGTCCAGCTAGGCTTGCGCGAGAACCACTCCTTCAAGGCCGATGCCTGGGACCGCGCCGCCACCAGTCTACGCGAGAAACACGGCGCATATCCTACAAAGAGCCATCTCGTGAACAAGTCAGATAATGCGCGAAAGAAATTTCGTCTCTGGCGTGGCCTTCGCGAGGACCCCGAGTTCCTCTACAACCCGACCACTCGGACCGTCACCGCCTCCGAGGAGGCCTGGAAGGCGCACATCGAGGTTCGTTGACGCGCGCGCATTCTCATCCCCGCCGTTTGGCACCCTTAACCCCCCACAATTGTCGTGTCGAGCCTGTCGCTGACCCTTTCTCGCAGAAAGAGCCGTTGTCGCGCGCGTTGCGTGGTCGGCCGTTCGATCATGAGCAGTTCATGGAGATTCTGTATCCTGATGTCGTCGGTTCGGGTGGTGCACCTAAGCGTATCATGAAGCCGAAGCGAAAGGGCCCGGATGTAATTCAAGGATCTGAAGACCCGGATATGCCGGGCACCGCAGTCCTCGATCTTCAGGTTGAGCCGCCTTACCGACCCCCTTCGCAATCGGGCATTAACCAACAAGTACAGCCTCGCGGCTCCGTGAGCCAGTCTCCCGTAGCCCAAGTCCAACAACCCTTGATACCCCAGCAGCAGCAGTCCCAGCAGCCGCAACAACAACAGCAGCAGCAGCATCAGCAACCACAGCAGCAACAGCAACGGCCTACCTCCACCGCGATTCCGCCAAGGACACACATCGCAGGCACCAGCGCTCTGACGCCCCCCGAGGAAACTGCCACAGGACGTAAGAGATTTCCTCAGCAAGCCTCGACATCTGACACCGGCGGCAAGGCCCCGACGGCGCCTATGGGGCCGCCAGCGCAACCAGCAGAGAAGCGCCGACGTGTCTCGGGCTACACGAACCCTGCGCAGGCATCAGGGCCAGGCGCATCAAATAGCCACAGCAACGACGCGACGACGGCATCCATGGTCTCTGCCGGTAAACAGCTGATGGAGGATGGATTGATCAAGATCGCCGACGCTCTCCGCGGCCGAAGCCCACCACGGTGGCCCGAGCAGGCGATCGATATCTTCTTCCGTGATTTTTCCGACGAAGATATGGACCTCCAACTCAAGATTGCTGAAAAGGCTCTCGCGGATGATAATAAGGCCATGATCTTTTGCAAGATGTCTCCGGCGTTGCGCAAGCACTGGGTTAAGCGTCTGAGAGAGCTGCACAACAATAGTCGCAACACGTAGCGCCTCCCGCGTGGTGTGGGCAGGCCCCGGAGGAAAGAATGTAGGATTCGGGTCGAGTGCGGCGTGTCGATCGATGTAAGAAAGGCTATTGTGTGCATGTGTGCGTGAGAGCAAGCGGGCAACAGCTAAAGGCAGGCTAGGCTGGCAAAGGATTTCGAAAGGAGTTGGCTTCAAAGGTTGAACAGAAAGCTGGATCGGCAGAAGCTGCTAGGGCGTTTACAGGTGTCCGGTCTGGGAGAGTTCACAACGAGGTTGGAGGAGTTAGCAACCAAACGGCATAGCGACTGGGATGTTGAGCTTTGGCGAAACCTACTTTTTTTTCCCCCTGTACGATTCTACGATTTACTACTGACACCACAAGAAACCACCTTAGTGGAGGTTAGCGGAGGCGAGTAGCAGACCGGGCGGCGGACGGTCGGTCTCCTTTATTAGTGTTTTCAATATTTATTATTGATATTGCAGCGCCATAACCCGTGCATGAGTGTGTACCTTGCTCCGAATCCTCAACGTTGGAAGTGAGTTGTATCGGGCGTAATCGTCTGCAGTCAGCCTAAAAGGGATTGTTCAAGCATTGTGTGGAGAGAGAGCAAAGTGTTTGGAGGAGATTGTGTGATATCCATATTCGCCCCGAACGCCCAGTACATACATACAGCGAAGAGCTGTTTCTGCGTCGTATTCGTCAAGACGTCATTGCACGCCAACAAGCTAGCATCCGTGCAACATGCCAAAAGTTCCAAGCTAGTAGAGGAAAATCAAAGTCATCGTCGTCCGACGCGCCTGTCTCTTATTTCTTGCCCTTGGTCTTGTACAGATAGCTGAGGGGATGAGAGTCAGCATTAAGCTACATTAACTTGTGCTTAGAGGGACGAGGGGAAAGATGCTCACCTTCCAAAGATACCCTCCCCGAGACCAACCACACCCAGGATGCCCAGTCCCAGACCAACGCTCTGCCACGACAGACGGCCGCGCTCGTACAGACCCCAGGCCTTGTAGCCAAGGAAGGCGCTAAGGCCGACGACGCCGACGAGATTGGAAACGACGAGGGCGCTGGCGCTGCCGTCGCTGAGGGAGGAGAACTGGCGCTTGAGCCAAGAGTCGGCCTTGCGCGCCTTGCCGGCGGCCTTCTTCTTGGCCAAGTCGGCCTCGGCGCGGGCCTTTTCCTCGCGCTCGACGCGGTCGGCTTGGGTATCGGTCTGGATTTCCTGCTCGAGGAAGTCGTTGGGGACGGTGTGTACGCTTGGCAGGTCGACGTCGACGAGGGAGGAGGTCGAGGCGGTGGAATCGACAGAAATTTCGGGGGGCGGGGGAGCGGCGGCCTGGCAGGGGAGCGAAACGTCAGCGATGCTACTCAGAGGAGTGGTTGTGGGATCGAATGAGGATGAGGATGATGAGATCACGCGATCAAGAATGAAAGAAACGTACCTCCTCAGGAGTCTGCTTGGGGCCCTTGGCGGCCATGTCTGCATAAGAAGCCACTGGGTTGTTTTCTTAGCAACGAATGCGCATATTGAAGATGACGCAACTTTGTTTACTTACTTGTGAGAGATGGAGCTGTGGTTGGAAGCGTAGCTTTGAGCTCTGAGGTAGGTGTTTGGGGGTATCAATGGGGGAGGGAGGGAGAGATGCGAGAGCGTGTGTGAGAGGTGTAAAAAGGTGTGGCAGATCGACAAATGACGTGCGGGAAGGATGAACGGGTAGGTTCCTTTTAAGAGGATGCAGTCATGTGAATGGGAAGGAAGAAATCGGAAGAACCTGAGGATGGGAGGGAATAATTTTTTCTTAGTACGAGAGGGAAGGGAAAAGAAGGAAGGCCAGGAGGTAGCACGAGGGAATGGCCGTCAGGTGGTTTGACCATTTCCCTCTTCCCCCCCGCGGGCTTTCCTTGATCTTGGTTGGCGCGTATAGGCCTGGAGACCAATGACGTATGACGTGTGCGGCTCGGGAGCTTGGGACAATCTGATCGGCGGACCAACCAAGGAAGCAGAGGCCCCATCGCGCTGTGGGGGCGTTCGATTCCCAAGCACTGGGGAAAGAAAGCTGGGCCACAAATGTTGGCCAGGAACGGTGTCATGCGCCGGGGCATCCTCGGATGGGGTTGATGGGTCCTGGGTGTGCTGTGCTGTCATTGATGCATTTGAATATGCTGTTCATGCTCATGGGGCTCTCTGGGACGGAGTCGTTTTCTCGTTGCTGGGCAATTTGAAGGCTCAAGATGAACAACTAAGAAAAAAGGCTGGGGAGTCCCTCAAGAGAAGTGTATGTCTATTGGTTTTTCGCTTCCGTACTGGTACACTGTGGACACGATTATGGTACATGAAATATGCCTGATTTTCCCCCGTCATGGTTTCATTAGCCACGCTCCGCGGCTTCGCGGTAAGCGTTCTCACTTTCTCTTTTTCCCTCACTCTCCACAGGTAGCGGGACTTGTTTATATTGATACAGAGAGCGTAAGCTTTCTTGTTTAGATGTTGTTTGCCGCGGTCGCATCCGTTGCCTTGTTGTTGGGCTTGGTGAGGTCAACAGGCTCAGGCGAGGGAGCGGCTGGGGTCTTCTTCTCCTGCTTCTCGGCCGCGGGCTTCTTCTCCTCCGACTCAGCTTTGGCCTCTTTGTTGGTCTCCTTGTTGTCCTCCTTCTTCTCCTCGACGGCCTTGGTAGGCGGCGCAATCGTGGCGTCGGTATTGGCGTCGAGGGCGGGTGCGGCGTCTTCGGCGCCTTCGTCGTCGGCCAGCTCGTCACCGTAGACCTCGGGGTATTTGCGGAAGCATGTCTGCATTCCCCTGTATCCAATTAGCATTCTTGCACCGCCACAACCTGCTTCATCTCATTCGGGACATACTGGAACTTCTCAATGCAGTCCATGCCCTTGGGCTCCTCCTTGGAGTAGACGAAGCAGCTGAAGGCAGCCTTGAACTCCTCGCCGCAGGGGCCATCAGCCATGCCGCCAAGGCACGGGCAATCCCAGTTGATCTCGCCCGTCTCGGGGTTGAATGCACCCTGCTGATCAGCCTCGGCCTCCAATGCCTCGGGGGAACCAGGAGCTGGGGCCGGGACGCCCTCGGCGCCCTCAACCTCGAGTGCCGCCTTGGTTTGTTCGCTTGATTCTGTGGGCACGGGGGCGGCGGCGGCGGCAGGCTTGGCCTCCTCCGCCTTCACGATGGCCCGCTTGCGCTTCTCCTCGACAATCGCATCGACGGTCGTGAGATCAGAGTCGGAGAATTGGGACGGGGCGGCGATTGTTCGGGCTGCCGTAGCATAAGAGTTAAAAAAGACGAATTCCCTAAATCATCTCTCTGGGCGGGGGACACATACAGAGGGGCTCCTCGGCGAAGACTGGACTCGTGTTATACCAGTAGAGGGCACCGGCTGCGAGACCCCATCTCAGTGCTGCGCCCTTCCATGTCCGGGGCTTGTCGGCGGGTGCTGTCGAGGCGAATCGTCGGGGAGCTGCGCGAATTGCCGACTGTCGGGCGGCGCTCAGGGCGCGGGGCGTTGACCGGACGGCGCTGCGATACATTGCGTGTGTGTATGCCTGATTGAACAAAGCTGAACCAAAAGAGAAGACGTGAGGGAATAACGAAAAAAAAGAAGACAACGACAAAGGGGAATGAGACGAATTGCGGAGGGCGCGGGTCGTGGGCAACGCTGCTGGAGCTGTGCTGGTTGGTAATCCCGGATGGAAAAGAAAATTGAAGCTTTGATGGCGGGTTCTGCCGGGGTTTTAGCGGCGCATTATCGCTGATTGCCCGTCTGATGCAGCAGCCTGCAGGTCCGACCGATCGGACGGTCCCCAAATCCAATTAAATCTGAGCGACTCGACGGATCATTGGCCGCCATCGTAATGCACCACTTTCTGCGAGATATTCCACTTCAGGCCGGTAACACTGATGACTCCGTATGCATCATGGACAGCCCGAGATAAAGTAACAGATGCAAGTCCGTGATACAATCTTATCCTACCAAACTCTCAACTGTGTCACTTCAGCCTCTCAGCCAAAACCTGGCACGTCTACTCTTCCCTGGGACTGGCTCACTTGCTTTCCAATAAGCGACGCGTATTGAGAGATATTTTGGACTTTTCGGCTGTCTGACTAAAGTGGTGCCCTGCTGAGGTAGAAAGAAAGAGAGAATCTACAAAATGTCGCCAAGTTTTGAGTGGCATCCGATAAGTCTACTCCGCGACAAGAAACCAGACCAACCCAGTACTGCCGACTTTGCGCTTATTGTGCTCAACCAGCCTGTGAAGCAGACACCCGTTTTTAACTCCTTATGGACTAATGGTACGATTTTATCGCGAAGACGCGCCTCGATGACCTGCTAACACCTCTTGAAGCCCTCACGCGAGTTGCTGCAGATGGCGGAGCAAACCCGCTGTACAATCTGAGCAAAGCAGCTCAAGCTCGATCCCAGCCTCCATACGTGAGCTTCTTGGCAGTCTTGTCTCGTCGACGGCCTTATCTAACTGATATAGACCCCCAGCCTCGACGCCATCATCGGCGATCTAGACTCCATTCTCCCCCACGTCAAGGACTACTATACGACGCTAGAACGGCCTGCACAAGTCATCCACAAACCCGACCAGTACTCAACAGACTTTGCCAAGGCCATCTCATGGGTCCGCACAAACCACGCTTCCGACCTCGATGTCGTAGCCCTCGGCGGGCTAGGTGGCCGCGTCGACCAAGGCCTCGGCCAGGTGCACCATCTGTACCTCTTCCAGCCGGGGCCCGACTATGCCCAGGGCAAGGTGTTTCTCGTCTCTGGTCAGAGCCTCACTTTTCTGCTCAAGCCCGGTCGCCACAGCATCTGGGTCCGCGAAGGTGGCGAGGATGTCTTTGGCAAGCACGTCGGTATCATCCCAATCGGAGGGACCAGCCACATCACCACCAAGGGCCTCGAATGGGACGTGGAGAACTGGGAGACCAAGTTTGGGGGCCACATAAGCACGAGCAACCACGTGCTACCTGAGACCAAGGTGGTCGAGGTCGAGACCACCGAACCAGTGCTTTTCACCATTGCCCTTGTGGGCACCGAATAAACCAAAAGTCAACCATCGCTTGTTGCACAAGGAGCTCGATGATGACCAAGAAAATGCGCGGCGCATACTGCAGCCCGCCGACTCCAAACGCCTTGCCCTGAATATTTCTCAACTTCGTTTTCTCGTCCCTGGTAGCCCAACTCTGACCGTTACGCATTTACCGTAAAAAGTGTATGCAAGCCCAGCAGAAGAGGAAGAAAATGATGACGCCGGCCCAGAAGATCCACTTGTCCTCCTTGGCGCGGCGCTCAATCATGCGGATGGTGTCGCCAGAGATGCCCAGCGTATTGCCGACGGAGTAGAGCCTCTTTTGCGTGTTCTTGAGCATCTCACGCTGCGTTCCCAGGTCGCCCAGCACCGCTTGCCCTCGCGCAATGTACTCATCCAAGGCCGAGTTCGTGCTGGCGAAGAAGTTCTGCTCTCGTAGGGCGTGCTGCTCCCTCGTAACGTCACTTCCACCCATGCTCAATCCGCTTCCGGCTTGGCCCGTCGAAGCTCCCCGGCTGTGGAACTGCGATGACTTGTTGACGTTGGCGTAGGGGTTCTCGGGCGTGGCGGTAACATAGGCTCGACGGCCTAGCAGCTCGCCTCGGTCGTTGCTGTGGGCGGCTTCTTCGCGCGCCTTCTTGAGGGAGTCGACCTGGGAGCGGAAGTCGGAGAGGTCATCGCGGAACCGTTTCACACGCTCGTATGCCTCTTCTTGTTTCTTGGGTACGAGCTCCTGGCGGGCCAGTTGGTTGTATTCGTCGACCGTCTTGGAGAAGGAGGCGAGGGATGCGGACACGTTGCCAATTTCGGCGGGGGTCAAGGCAGCTGGTTGCGCAGCCGAGGACGAAAGTTTCTCGAGGTTGTTGCGGATGGCCTTGCTCTGGCGCAGGGCCGAGTTGTATTGGACGTTCTGCAGCTTCTTAGTATGGCGCATCTATGGACTAGGATTAGGAGGTAGTCTGAGCGGCGACTGACCATGCTGGATAGATGCGGAACGTATAGAACGGAACACTGGTATTGAAGCTTGGCAAATTGTCGAGACAGGTGCAGTGAAGAGTGTAGGGAGTGGAAGCGTGTCCCTCGAATGAATTGCCGGGTCTCGAGGTCTGCTGGGTAAGGTACCTGAAGAAGCTCTGGACACTTTGTGCTGGAGCTCCCTCGGTACCTTATCTCCAAACTTCCCCAAGCCTCCAGGTGGCTTCTCCAAGAAACATGTCACCGCCTTCCTAATCGGTGAAGGAGCTGTACTGTGCTTGCGTACAGTGCCAGGATTCGCCGAAGACGGTCCGCCCAATCCCCGGGGGTCCTTCATCCCTGGCTCCGTCCTGCCTCTTGGCGCTCCGTGCAGGTTCAGGTGTAACTCAAAGCTATCAACCTCACTTCAATCTCTCAGCAACACTCACCGTATCATCTGCCCACTCGTTGAATTTTAACGACGCTTGAAAGCCGTTAGGTAGTTTTGCTACTCTCTGCTACCGACGATATAGAAGATCACCGTGCTGCGATGCCTTTGCCGACAGCGGCCCGCTCAGCAGTCAGCTTTGAGGGCTTCGGTCGAGGTCCGCGATGGATCAGTCTTGCGGTAATGTGATTGACGCTGGGATTTATTGATTTTGTCAGGCTGGAAACGACACACGGGGCCCAATTTGACTAGTCAAGATATGGTTAACCGCTATTCTTCGCTAGTTTAATACTGTCGCGACTCCAGTGTGCCCACCGCCTGCGTCCATTCTGAGGGACACGCCGACTCGGCACCGAATATGCATCCTTACAAGTTGCAACGATGTCGTAATTCCACCCAACATTCGATGATCAATTGCATGCTCGCCCCCGATACCCCCAAATGCCCCTAAAGCCCCCAATGCTCCCGATGACTAGCGATGTACCTAGCCGCAGGCGGACTTTTTGATCATAAGTCCTGATCTCGGCAATAAGGTGTCTATATCTATACATTACCCCCATGCCTCAGTTTCTGTTACTGCATTCTACTCACCACCAGTGCTCTGTGGCGACGTGGGATAAATCTGACATCCAAGAAACCCGCCAAACATGTCTCGACCATCGAGTCCCACACCTTCAGAAACGTCAGCGCTACCAGTCGATTCTACCAAGTCGACAATAGTAGACGAGGAAGCGGTAACGCCACCCGAGGAACAACCACCACCTCCGCGATACTCAGTATATACGACATGGGAGAAACGATTCATCGTGCTAGGAGCCTCTTTGGCTGCCTTCTTCTCGCCTTTCACTGCGCAGATTTACCTTCCCGCTCTGACGGTTCTTGCCAACGAGTTTAAAGTGTCCGACTCGGACATGAATCTCACCTTGACGACTTACATGATCTTCCAGGGAATCGTGCCCATGTTCATCGGCTCGCTGGCCGATCAGAGCGGAAGACGCCCTGCCTATGTCATTTGCTTCGTCGTCTACATCGCGGCCAACATTGGTCTGGCACTCTCGCAGAACTACGCCTCCTTGCTCGTCGTTCGCTGCATACAGTCTGCCGGTTCCAGCAGCACCGTCGCCTTGGCGTCAGCGGTCGTTGCAGACAGCATCACGTCGGCCGAGAGGGGGCAGTACGTTGGCCTTACTGTCGTACCCATCGTTCTGGCGCCAGCACTCGGGCCGGTTCTCGGTGGTGTTCTGGCAGAATACCTAGGCTGGAGGTCCATCTTCTGGTTTCTTACCATCTTGGCCGGCGTTTTCTTCATCATCCTTCTCCTCTTCTTCCCAGAGACATGCCGGAGAATCGTAGACGATGGCTCCGTGCGGCCTCCGCGGTTGTATCGAACCGGCTTCCAGCTCATCAAAGACTACTACAGAGCCAAAAAGGGAAACGGGGCACCAGTGACGAGGCAGACGACAGGAGCATCAAACACTGCCAAACCAACTCTCAAGTTCAAACTGAACCCTTTCGAGTCACTTCGCTTACTGTTTGAGAGAGAACTCGGGCTACTCCTCGGGTTCAGCGCCATTGTCTTTGCCGGTTTCTACGCCATCGCCGCATCCATGCCGACCCAAATCCAGGGAATTTACGGTTTCGACAGCCTCAAGGTCGGTCTCATGTACCTACCCATGGCTGGCGGCTCCGTCGTCGCCGCCTTCTTGGTAGGGCCCTTGATCAACTGGAACTACCGTCGGCACTGCAAGCACCTGGGAATTCCCTACGACAAGTCTCGCCAGCAAGACCTGACCGGGTTTCCCATTGAGAAAGCACGCCTTGAAATCGGTCTGCCACTGCTGTATCTCAGTTCGGTTCTGCTGCTCGTCTGGGGCTGGGCTCTGCACCTCCGCGCGCCTGTGGCTGTCCCGTGCGTGCTGCTTTTCCTTTTCGGAGTTGGCATGATCGGTTTCAACAACACCACCAACACGCTCATCATCGACATTCACCCTGGCAAAGCCGGGACTGCGACGGCGGCGAATAACTTTACGAGGTGTCTCCTTGGTGCGGCGGCGACTGCTGCCATCATTCCCATGATTAACGGAATGGGCGTTGGCTGGGCCTTTACGCTTTTGGCCCTTCTTTACATTGTTTTCAGCCCGGCATTATTGGCCATCATGTACTGGGGTGTGAAGTGGCGCCAAAACGCAAAGAACAAGGAGCTGGAGAAGAAGCAGAAGAGCGCAGGATGAGGTTGTGATACCAAGGGGGGGGGG